GTCTCCATTGCCCTTGATCATGCATGATAGGGTGGTGGTCATTTTGGTCTCGTTTGTGCATTTACTGAACTTGTACAAACTTGGTCCCTTAGCCATCATGCATGGAAATTTCTTGATTGATAGTTTGAGGGCCAAGAGTTTCTCTCCTTTGAGCTTGTGTGATGATAAGGAGGGTAAACAGTACAAAATAACTTGTAAGAATACACTGTTTTGCTCTCTGTTGCAGTATGCAAGTGTGAACCAGCAGTGGCCGACCGGCCACTATTGGTAGCCGACCGGCCCCTTGTCCCTCTTGTCGGCCATCAATGATTTTTGCACAATGTGTTGGTAAGTTGAAGCAGAGGTGTTTTGGAAGTTGGCAGAATTTTCAGTGATCAAATGTGCAAACAGAGGCTTGCAGTCGCAAGCAGTGGCTTTTCAAATATAGAGTCAAGCATGCGCACGCATATCTATCACTTCCCGGGGCTAAGTAGTTGATTACTTAGTTTATTTGCAATTGACTTGTAATCCATTAATTAGCTAAGTAGTTAGTTAGATGTGATGTAATTATTTAATTAGTTAGCTAGAATAGTTAATTAATTCAGTTTGGAATAATTAGTTAGCTTAATTAGCGTAGTTAGTTGGTTAACTTATTCATTCAGACCCTCCTTCGCAAGGGCATAATGTTGTAATAAGTGTGCATGCATGTGTGTATGTCTTCCAACCCCACGTCTTTCTCTCTTTTATTTAATCGCTTTCGATGTTAGATTAGGGACATATTTTAATTAGCATATCGCATGTTTGTATCCATTCATTTGTATTGCATGCACCGAGGCTCGGTGCATCATTCAAACTGCATTGCAATTTTAATAATTCTTTGAATACGTGTTTAATCGCATGTTGTTCAAATCGATTCATATTCCATATTGGTAGCCGAGTCTATTAATTGCATTCTTCGCATGCGTTGCATTAGACATCTTGTATAGTTAGGATCATGCATCTTTCTAATTAGTTTTTGTTTTGGCTTGGAGTACTCAATGAGTCTTTATGCTTTAGCATACTTGTATGAGTGTGATTGTCATATTTCCATGACTAGCATGGTTACCATGAGGCTATGTGCTTAAATGCTAGACTGCTTGAATGCGTATGGATGAAGGCTTGTTGTTTGAATTAGAACAATTAAACGAATGTGCGTTTTAAGCCCACTTTATTGGGTGGCAAATCATGTTTTAAGCCCACCATGCTTGGTGGCAAATCCGCATCTTTAAACCCATTTGAGGTGGAAAATTCAAACCATTTTCGAAAATAAACATGAGTTGAATTGTTCCAAATTGAGGAAACTAGTCTATACTTGCTTGTGCGCGTCACATAGTAAAGCTAGTTTAATAACCAGAATAAGAACACATAATGTTTATAAAAAATCATATCATGATTAGTAGAGGCCGGTCTTTGATCGAGCGAGCGAGGATGCTCAATTTATGACCTCCCCCCTTGTACCCAAGTTCCCTTGCTGAGGTAACTTTGGTGATGACAGACACGTGGCCTTCGGCGCGAGTCAGGGTTTCCTATGTTTCTCAAAAATAAAAATATTTAGGTGGCGACTCTGTATTTAGCAAAGCAGTCCAATTTTGGCACTTTTTGATTCAAAATCAATTTTTCAAAACGATTTGCCGAATTTGGACTCTTTGGTGTTTATCAATTTCACATTGCACTTGTGATATTAGATTCAGAACCGTGGGAGTCCAAACTGTGAGGCCTTCTTTTCAAACGGGGCGCAGAAAAAGGCGAGCCCACAGTTGTAGTTTTGTTTAAATATGGATTTGGGATTTATGAAGGAAGCAAAATGAATTATTGGAACATGGTTGGAGTATTGTGAATTGGAAAATAAGGAAATTGATTTCGGAAGGAAAATTTAATTTTAACTCTTTTGTAAATTATGAATAAACGAGAGATTAGACTTTTGAACATTTGATATATGATGTTGTTGTTGTTGTTGTTGTTGTTGTTGGGCTTCTATTCCATGAGATTTGGACGATTATAGTTATGCGTATTAAATACATGTGCTTAGAGGTTTTGTCATTGGTCATCGGTAGAGGATGACATTGATGTGTTGAATAGATTATGTGTATGTATTACACTTGTATTATTATGCTTTTAGCATGTCGTGATGGTTGGTAATGTATACTACACTGAGAATGAGAGGTACCATTACCTTCCAGCTAGTGCCTGAAGAACTTGGCAGAGGTACTATTCCCTTCCAGCTTGTGTCTAGTAAATCGGTAGAGGTACCATCTCCTTCCAGCTTATGTCTGGTTAATTAGCAAAGGTACCATTACCTTCCAGCTTGGGTTTGGTAAATTAGTATTTCGTTGTGGAAAGGTGTATTCATGGCCCACCGTGCTTGAGGCAGGTAGAGCATGGGTTGGGGGTTTCGGTGTTGAATTGATTTATTTGTGTATATCATATGTGGTAGCGGTTTGGTTGATGGGGTCGGGTTGGTTCATGTGATATTGTCATTGTCTTGGCATGTATGTTATTTTCTTTTCTTGTTAAAGGTATTGTATGTAAGTTTATGTGTCGAACGATTTATAGAAAATGTTTCATTACCTTTAGCTTAGGGCTTGGAAATGTCATTCGTTTATTAGAAATGGGTGTATGTGATGGGTTGGGAATGTAAAGAATGAAAGGCGATTTGATTTGGGACCACATTATCAAAAGTGCATTGTTAATATATGTTCTTTTTGAAATAGATAATGTAAATGAAGGAAAAGAGTACGTTATGTATTGTTGAGCAAATTGGACGAATTTTTGAAAAAGTATAGAGCTATATATATAAGTATACCTTGATGATAAGCTGCCACATCATTTATATTGTAAAATATGAAGCATTCATGATCATAATTATCTGTATGTTTTGATTGTTTAGGATCATGTTGGGGTCCCTACTGGGCTTTATGCTCATCCCACGTTGTTAATTTTTTTTTCCACGTACAAGTTGTTAAGTGTTTCAAGATTGAGAATCTTCTTTATGTGTTGGCCATAAGGCCTTTTACTTGTTAACGGAACACTGTTGTTGAAAAAGGGTTGAAGCCTTTCTCTTATCGTAATGATGTAAGCCTGCGTGCGACATATTCTAATTGTAATTCATGTAACATTCATTATGTATCCGAATGAGAGATTAATCTTTATTTATTTACCCTTGTTAATGTACAGAATTTCCACATGCTGTTTCTAGAATTGAATTATAATAAAGGATTTTGGTAATGGTATCTGAGTAAAAGTGGGCTGTTACAGCTGTGGCGACGAAGGAAGAGCAATCGATGGAAGGTTGACACCTAATTCCCTTCTCAAACCCTAGCATCTTTAGACGATCTATCCTGATTCCACCCTCCGAACCTAAAATCGGTGACGAAGAACCCTAAGCGCAGCGAACAAGGCTTGCGAGGTCGTTGGCGTCGGTTCTGCTACCAGATTTGGTCTGTTCGAATCATTTCTCAAACAGTATAGATTTGGCAGTGGCGGAGGTGCGATGGACGTCGTTAAGAGAGTCGAGGGGAAACTTTAGAGAAAGAGACCCTAGCTGCACCCTAACTGTAGTGGTGGCCATAGTTGGTAGCTATGGTGGTAGTTGGCAATGGAGGCGGTGATGGCAGTAGGTAAGAGTTAGAAAGAGAGAGTGCGTCATCGCAAGAGGAGGAGAGAGAGTGTGCTGTGTGGAGGAACTCTGGTCAGAGAGAGAGAGAGATATGGAGTGGTTTGGTTTGGTTAGGGTTTGGAAACAATATATATAGACAGGTAGTTTGGTTATTTTGTAGGAAATTGTTCTTATGGAAATAATATTTTAGCGTATAAACGATTAGGTAAAGAAAATTCAAAAATGAATTTATTGCCTGAGCACCCAATTATAAAATTTGTGTGAAACTAGTTCATGTAGTTTTTATTTATAATTTATTATGTAAAAATAATTTAACAAAATTTAAAAAAAAAAGACTAATTAAATAAATATATTTTTAAATTTTACCTTTTCATTGTTAAACTGTTGTAAGTCAAATAAAGTCATTACAAGCTAGGATTTATTTGTAGTCATGCATGAGACACTCTTTTGGGCACCACTATACATCACCTCATAGTGTTTTTAAGAACAATTATTCAAATGTCATAACGGACGGTAATATAACTATGTTATTAATATATCTGAGACATTCATTTGTGTGGCACAAAATCTGCGGGTTTCATCTGCCTCTGCACTCCAAAATGATATTTTTTGAGGAGATTTGGTCAATACCTTCTCATAATAAAATTTCAATACTTTAAGGATAAATTTTTCTTGATTAATTTAATATTTTAAATTTAAAAATAATATAACTTTTAATCTAAATATCGATTTTTAATAAAATTGTATTTTTAGAATTCTCTCATTAAGATCAGTCAAATAAGATCCATATTGACTATGAAATTCTTAAAAAATAAAAATAAAAATAAAAATTATCGTCGAAATTGATATAAGCAGTAACATGTTACTCTATTTGATAGTAACATATTACTATGTTTCATAGTAAAATATTACTCTAACTGCTCTGAACTAAACATCAGCAACAAAAATAGAGTATGACCCTCCTTGCATATGAACTCACACTACATCTAGAAATTAAAATCCATACTCATTGAATATTCAATCACAATTTCAATGCTTTTTAACAACAAATGTATGTATACTATTATGGTGTTCAACATTGATGTTAGATTTAGCGGCAGTCGACCTGTCGCTATAAAGTTAGCAAGTAATTGGTAAATTCAAGATATAACGACGTTTATAACTGTCACTACATCGACCGTCGCAATAAAAATAACTATACCAGCGTTTGCGGAAAACGTCACTATAAGGATATGCCGACGGGGCTATTGCGGCGGTTTGGCCGTCGCTATTGCAACCGCGGGTAAAGGTATTCTAGTTTTTAGCGACGCTTTTTCTTGCTTTTAGCGACAGTTTTTTGCCGCTACAAAATCTTGATTTTTTGTAGTGTTTACACAGGTGACAGATATTTGAAACTGTGGATCATACCCAAATTAGAAGTCATGTTTACCCCCCGAACAAGAGAAGACAAATGCCTCATCTTAGCCAATGACAGGTTGTGGGATGTAATGACAAACAATGAAGCATGTGAAGCAGCTAGAAGACGCATTTTGCTATGGCATAAAAAGAACGACGGTGTTCCTCTTGTGGGGCGGGGCCATGGAATCGACCCTACAGCTCAAGCAGCAGCAAAGTACCTTTTGATTCTCGCTCTCCAAAAAGGAAGCAAAGACAATATCTCCATGATTGTTATTGACCTAAAAGCTCAGAGAAAATTCAAGAGCAAATCATGATGTCAATAAAGAACACGTTTCCTGTTCAGGAAGTTTAAGAAGTAAAATATTTTGAATTGTCATTTACACATTAACATATTGGGTTTACGAGGTTTTGGCTGATTCATTTTTTTTTTCTTTTGTTGAGATATTAAAGAATACACTACAAATAGTGCACTAGATTTGGATTGGATTAGGGTATGTTTCACTTCTTCACAACCATGTTGCATGAGAATGGGTAACACACGCTTCATTTGGGAAGGGACTACTTGGCAACAAGTGAGTGTATGACTATTTTTCTGCATAGAAAATATGAAAGCACTATTTCATAGTAGTATGTTGGCAAGTAGTTATCCCACTAATTTCATATGTTTGTTTGGACGAACTGGATAAAAAAATTTTAATTTATTGGATTATTAATTCTAAATACATAGTCTATCGGACTATTTAGTTAGAAAAAATGCGTATTTCATATTTATTTTTTTATAAGATTAGATGTCTAAAAATGATTATCCTAGCGAATTCAATGTTTGGTTAAAATATTATGAAGAATGATAAATATTTAAAAGACTATTTTACCTTTTTCAATAATAAATTTGTCTTTAATATATATATATATATATATATTGCTAGAATATTTAAAAAATTAAATAAATAAAACATCAATAAAATTTAGCGTCGTAACCGGCTAATAATCCTTAGATTAGCCAAGGCCTCAGTACTTAATAACATATAATTAAGGGGCTAGCGGAAGCAATTATACAAAATACAATATCCATAAAGTTGTGCAGACATATATGAGACAAAAATTTAGAACTTTATATGCACATGCGACGTCAAAAATACATTAGTCTTACGTCACCCACATGTACGGATAAAACCAAAATGGGACTTAGCCCATAATACAGATAAACAGAAATTTGTTCAAATTTCAACAAAAGAAAAACAAAGTCTTGAACTTAGTTTACAAAACTCGACCACTTGACTCACTCTGGAACCTCCTCGAAAGGCACAAAGGTTGGCCGACAGATAGAACTCCAGGCAATCATCTCTGAGCCTGGTCACGTGCCTGGCCACCTACATACATAAATAATACAATGAGCTAGAGCCCAGTAAATAATAACAGAGTAAAGGTTTTAATGAATGATGTCCATAACAGATTCAGAAATCAGAGTTCAATTTAGAAACAGATTTATATTCATATCAGATTCTCATAGATAATCACGAATGGTACATCATTTGGCACTAACAGACAGATGGCTCATGATTACATGAGACGGACATAAAGACCCATATACAAAGTAAATACAGACAGATAATGGTTATGCTTAACCAGTTCCATGATAGAACCTCTAGTACTAGGTAACAAATAGATATCACATGATACTAAGAATGCCACGATACATTTTAGAAAACTAGACAACCATTCATCTATACAGAAAGTAACATTTCAAAAAACTAATCATATCATTTCAATCAGAAAATATAAACATAGCTTTACAGAGTTATTACTCACAGATGACTCCAATAACAGAGTAGTTGAAATCGACAGATCAGATAGTCTATGGCGCGTGACCTACACAAACACAATGTAGTTCGTTCGAGTGCAACATCTATTGCTTGAGCAGTCTGCAAAGTCTGCAAAAATACTGGTTGCATGATTTTTTCGTTCGACGGATGCTCGACAGTCGCTCGAGCCAAAGACTGAGTAAATAAGGTCTCTGCTCGAGCTCAATTTCCTACATTCGAGCGATCTGCAAAGGTCTGTAGAACTTCTAGGGGCATGAATTTTTCGCTGAGCTTAGACTTCTTCGCTTGAGCAGAGGTGCAAAACAAAGAGTGGTCACTCAAGCGCAACTTATGTCCCTCGAGCGTTGATGTAGAATTCTAGAATTTCCAAATTACACTCCCTGCTTCAAAACTCAATTCTAAGGCAACAAAACATGTTTTTTTGTGCCAAAACTTAAGAAAACACTTATAAATTCATAATATATCATGAGTCGAAAGCCATTTCGTAAAATTAAGCCCAAAAGCTTCGTTAATTGTACAAAATCAAGCTTGTAATGTTAAAAACATAACATGAACGTGACATGCATGATATGAACGAGATTCCAAGTCTCCAAATCATGATCAAATGAGATGTTCTACTCAAAACATAGTGAATTCTTAAACTAAAACCAAAATATGAACACACATGGGACAAATTCTTAAACAACATGCTCTTAATGCAATGTAATGCACATGCATGTATGTATACTCTTCTCTTCTACTTCATTAAGCTTAATTCTTGCCTTAATTCACTTAATTATTTTGCACACACGTGTTAAGTACCCCAATTACACAACTAAAGGCTTGATTTCTTACCTTAGGTTCTCAATTCCGTGAATCCTAATGAGTTCTTGCTCAATTTCTCCAATTCTCCTTAATTCTCTAGCAAATTCCTTCCAAGCTTCAAGCTTTGGTCTCAAGCTCTCTTGATCTCTTTCTCTCTATAGACACCCCATTTTTGACCGTCCTCAACACTTGGACGTCATTGTTTGAACACTCCATGATTATCCATGCTCGCGTTCGTTTTGAGTTCCCAGAGGTCTCGATTGCGCACCTTGCCTCAAGATCTCTTAACTTGTATATTTTGTGCTTGGTTGTGGGCCAAGCACTTGTGTTTTTGCTTCTGAGGGAAGAGGGTGGCTTGTTGGCCATTACCTCAACCCATCGGCCAAGGCATGAAGCCATCGACCCTGTTTTCTTGCCATCGGCCAAAACTGTTGGCCGATCAGCACTCTTTTTAGTCGATCGGCCATTGTGTTGGTCGATCGGCCATATTTTCTAGCTGAACCCTGTTAATCTACTTTTTGCAGATATTTTATACCAGCTGTCACATCTGGCATCCACAATTCACCCCCTCCATACACGTGTATGGAGGGATTTGTTCCTTGCCTTAGCTTGCTTAGGAAGCTTAGAATTTGGACTTCTATAAGAAGGGAGCCCCTCCTCTCTTCTCAGAGGTTCTGAAATTTAGGGTTAGAGAAGTTGTATCTATATATCTCTATATTTCCATCTTTGTGTGTGTTTTTGTGCTCTAAAGGGTGTTTTGTTCTCACTATTGCACACAAACACCTAGCAATACACCATCCTCTTGTTTCTGAGGTACTAGGGAGTTGGTTTTAGAGTTCTTGGGCTGGTTTTGATCAGAGAAAGGTGCTGGTGTGGTGTTCTTGAAGGTGTTCTTCAAGGGTGAGCAAACTTGCTTTTAATCCCCCTTTCTTGCTTAAGCTTTTAGACCTTCTTGCTTATTGTTTTAAGCTTAGCTCTTAACTGATAAAAGTTCTAATTTTGGATGCTTTAGATCTTTGTTTAAGGTCTCTTCTTGGTTTGGGGTTGTTTATCCCCTCCAAGGCCTTGTTAGGCATTATTTTAGGCCATACGTTTTGGCCCTTGTTCTTAGCTTTTCATGACCTTTCTACCACTAAAATCCAGAGGATTTTCAGTGGTGGAAAGGTGGTTTTGAGGTCTTAAATAGAAGAGAGTCATCCCCTCTCCTTGTTGTCTTGTATGCTTGCATAAATGGCTTATGAAGGTAGCATGTTTGCTTAGCTTGTTTTAGTTTCATTTCAGTATGTATTAGGCTTTGTTTTTCCATGATACAACACTGTTTTTGCTTGGTTTTGTCACTCCATGCAGGCCTAATACACTTGTAGTGTAAATCACACAAACTAGTCTTATATGCTTCATGTTTGAGCATGTCTTTCTAGCTTACGTTGACTCCATTTCAGTGGGTTTTTGGTGTTGTTTTAGCATGCCATGACTCTATTTTGGGTGGGTTTGGTTGGCCCTTGCATGCTCCATGCACTTTGTAGTGCAATCCCATGAAATAGCCTAACATGCCTCATGTTGTAACATGTCATTTTAGAATGCTTTTGGCTTAGCTCTGAGAAGACTTTGTTCATGTTTTAGCATGTTTAATGTCTGTTTGGTGTTGTTTTGGTCATGCTTGATTTGCTTTGTATAGCCTTGGTTCAATCTAGCTTGTTAGCTTTGAGTATTGAGTCCTTTAGCATGCATTACTTGGACCATTTTCATGATTTGGCATCATTTCATTTGTGTTTTCAGTCCATGTTTCATGCTCAAATGCTTGCACTTATCACTCCTTTAATGCTTTAAAGAGTTGATATTTTTATGCCTCATGAATGGATCATTATGCATGCCTCCATGCTCAGGTCTTCGGGATGCCATCTAAGTGGGTTTTTAGTCTTGTTTTACCCTTCCATAGCTCCGTTTTTCATTGGTTAAGTCATCCCATGTGTGGTTTTGATAGGTGTAGTGTAACACCCCTTTTGTAGCCTTGCATGCCTCATGTTTTTGGACTTTTGTTCTAGCTTGTGTTGGCTAGGTTTAAGCTTGTTTTTGGTCTCATATTGACCTACCTTGGGACTGTTTTGGGTGCTCTTGGCCCTTTGTGGCTTGCCTTGCATAGCCATGGTTTGAGTCCCTTGGCTAGTCTTAAGCTTTAGGCTTTCTTGCATGCTATACTCGCTTTGTTTGGTTGATTTGGCATCATTCCTCACATATTTTCAGAGCTTATTGCATTGCCACATTCTCATGTTTGTCACACCTTGCTCTTTTGTTAAGTTGCTTTGCATGTTTGCATGCTAGTCCCATTGCATGTTGTTGCATGTTTATCATTGGTATTGTTGTTGCATGCCTATTACATTGTAATGCTTGCATGATTATGCTACTTTGTTAAAGTTCATCATGCATGTATTGCATTGGTCTAAATATACTTGTCCCTTTACATGTTGTCACATGTTTGCCTCACATGTTGTTGCATGTTTGTCATTGGCATTGTTGTTACATGCCTTGCATGTTTACTTGTTTAGGTTGTATGCCTATTGCACATTGCTTGCTTGCATGCTCATGTTGCATTAGCTTGCTTGCATGCCTAGGTTGCATAGCATTATGCGTGCATCCCTTGCCTCTTGATCAAGCATGATAGAGGTTGGGGCCCCTTATGTGTTGTGTGC